CTGGTCCAGCTGTGCCCCAGCTGGACACCGTGCACTGGATGCCACAGTGGAGGGGACCACGGCCGGGCGCCAGACGGCAGGCTCAGACCTGTGACCCAACCATGTGTGACTGTGACCATCCCCAGGAACTCTGCCTGGTCACGGCCCTATTCTGGGTCTAAGCCGGCCTTTGCGCTCAGATTAGATAAGCACTAGAGCTTCCAGAGAGGTGTGCCCTGGCCCTCTCTCACACTCAGTCACACCCCTTCCTGCGGGACAGACCTGAATCTTCAACCTCCTGCTACTCGCCCCACAGTGGACGGGTCTGGTCTCCCTGTGCCCCCAAATCCACGTGGCCCACATTAAACTGCTACCACACCCTTACACGCCGGAAAGGACCAGCTCCTTCTCCGGGATTCCTCAGTTCTGTTTAATGGTTTCTTCTCTCTCCTCATTATTCACATTCAAAGACCCAGACTGAAGCACCCAGACAGCTTAGTAGAAAGAAACAGAGTTTTGGGGTCACACGTACCCAGATCTGAATGTCATCACTGAGACTTACTGGCCGTGTGACCCTAATTAATAAACTTCATTTCTCACCCCTGGTTTCCTCATTTACAAAGTGGAGTGAATCAGAGCTGGGTCTAGGGTAGGTGAGGGACACACTCACCTCAGAGGCATAATTCAAGAGGGCGCCAAAAAACTCAGCCAGCAAGATTAATAATATTTTAAGGAACAAGGCCTTCATCATAGGGGCATTCCGAGGAATAAATGAGATCAAGAGGCAAAGCCTGGCACACGAGAGGTCATTTCCACCTTTCAAATTAGCAAAAGTTTTAAAATTAATACACACTTTATGTTTACACAAGGCTTTTAGCAGTAACTGGCACAATCTTTTTGGAAAAAAGTGTGGCAATAGATATGTCAGTAGCTGTAAAAATGCTCCTGGCTTGTAATTCAATTTCCAGGAGTCTCTCCCAAGGAAATTACCCAAAACAGAGATAAAAACATGCATCTGTTTCTCACCGTGCACTTTATAATTACAAACCATTGAGGAACAACCTGAATGTATGTATGTGTAGGTGTGTATATATACATACACATATGTAATACATACATACATAAACACATATATACATATGTAACGTTTACATACATATATATATATGCAAATATATCCCTTGACCGTGTAAAACAATGCAGAGAAAAACATCGTAAAGAAGCGTGTCAAACATTTTTCCAAAAGGAAATGCAGATGGTCAACAGGCACATGAAACGATGCTCAACATCGCTAATCCTCAGGGAAACGCAAACCAAAACCACTATGAGATATCACCTCACATCTGTCAGAATGGCTATCATCAAAAAGACTACAAACAACAAATGTTGGCAAAGACGTGGAGAAAAGGGAACCCTTGTACACTGTTGGTGGAAATGTAAACTGGTGCAGCCACTATGGAAAACAATATGGAGGTTTCTCAAAAAACTAAAAGTAGAACTACCCTATGACCCAGAAGTTCCACTCCTGGGTATATATCCAAAGAAAATGAAAACACTAATTCGAAAAGATACATGCGCCCCAAAGTTCATAACAGCATTATTTAAAATTGCCAAGGTATGGAAGCAACCTAAATGTCCATCAACAGATGAATGGATAAAGAAGATGTGAGATATATATATATATATATACACACACACACACACACACACACATACATACACATACACAGTGGAATACTATTCAGCGATAAAAAAAGATTGGAGCCAGGTCTTCTAATCCCAGCCCCTTCCTTACTAGCTGTGAAACTTCGGACAGTTCTGTAATCTTCTGTGGCTCAGGTTCCTCCTCTGTAAAGTGAGGGCATCCAAACACTCACTTCACCTGGGTATTTGTCCTCAAGGTACAGAAACTGGCTTCATGGACCACTGCAGGACCACAAGAGACCAGGCGCCTCTTCCCCATTTCACCTATCATATTATCCTCCAAGACTCTGATATGTCCCTATTCCAAGGAGAGCGGCCCTCAATTATAACTCAATGGAATTTCCCAATGACACACAGGATGATGGTTTTGAGTCAGAATTGGCCGGATTCAAAAGAAAATGAAGACATATTTTCGCACCCTTGATTTGGTTGCCTGAGAGTTATGCCCACTCTCCAGTGTCTTTGTGTACTGTGTTATCCTCACCTGGGCTATGGCCATACAGTCCCAACTGGTCTCCATGGCCCCAACATCTGTCCACTCCTGTCCGTCTACACACGACTGCCAATTTTTAACATGCTTTGCGCATCCTCGTGCTCAAAACCCTCCCGTGGTTCCCTCTTGCCGACCAAGCAAAAGTGCCCTCTCCCCAGACACACTCTCAGGCCTTCACCGCGGTCCCCAGCACCTCTTCCATCTTAGCACTTAACTATTCTATGCTTCACTAACCACACCTGGTGCTTTCCCACCCACGCGCCAAAGCTCAGGTTATTCCTCTCCAACTCTCTACCCATCAGGATCCCACCGTCCACCGAAGGCCAGTGCAAACACCTCCTCCGGGAAGTCAGAGCACCCTTCCCACTGCTGTGATGTGCTGGTACTAGGTTGTCCCTGACTCGGGACGGATCACGTGATACTTAGCCCTGTAGTTGTTTAGATACGAGATTTATCCACCCAGGCAAATTATAAATGAAGTCTTTAGTCTAAGCAGTACCTCGATAAATAAGATTGGAAGGGGTGAGTGCATGAGAGATGGATTTGTTTGTGGCTGGCCTGTCTGGTGCTCCTTTGATGATAAATCCCCATCTTCACATTCCCAAGTCAAGGCCCCTGACCCCGATCAGGCCGCTCACTTCATAATTAATCAATCCACAGTCCTGGAGGGTTGAGGGGGGGAAATTGTGCACAGGGAGGAAAACTCATGAGGCCGTTACCGAGCAAGGCTGCAATTACCCTGACCTCAGTCACTTACTGTATTTTTTGGCTTTAATGCCATCTGCCTCCATGCTTCCAGTCTGAAAACGCCTGACTTTACTAGTCTATTTATACGGAGCTTTTTCTCCCTGTTTCCTCCCTCACCTCTTTTTAAACTTTAATTCTTTTTTCTGGGTCTTTAATTCCCCCCATTACATATTTCTGAGTCACCTATCCACTCCCACAGTTGGATGCAGACGCACCCTGGTTTAGACCAAGGGTGAAACAGGACTGTTACTCTGATCTCCAAAATGTTTGTCTTTGCAAACATTTGGAACTAAACATTGAGGGCACTTGCTCACAGAACCTTTTTCCAACCTAGAATTTACCCACTTTTCCCCACAGACATCCTATGTGTACATAGCTATTTTTAAACTTTACACCCACAAAACTCTTGGCAAAATCACAAACTAAATGGATTCCAAACCCAACTGGCTTAAATCCACATGTTTGAAGAAGAACATTGAAATGGCATGAATGTACTTATTTGCTCTCTTTACTGTTTGTCAGGATAGAATTAGAGCCTTTTAAGGTACGGCAGGGAGTTTAGGTACCTGACCTGCTTCTTTGCCTTGGACTGAAAATCATTTCCATTATCACTTTCCAAAATGTCCCTCGGGGCTGGCCTCCTGGACCTCCAAAGCCACACATACAACATAAAACAGCAATGGGTCCCTTCAGAATCGTCTAGGCTCCAAGAATCTCTCTGAGCTGCAGGTGCTCCCTGGAGCTGTGGTGCCCAAATTCTGTCGCTTGCTTGGCATTTTCACCATATCCATGTATTGACTGCGATTATTTACTTATTTTTAAAATCTGATGGAAAACCAGCAGACTCTCCAACATCAGGTTGCAGAAACATGCAGTGCAATAACCCACAGCATGAGGCCAGAGGATGATGGGGGTAGGGGTAGGGCAGCTGGCCTGTTGCAAGGATGCTGCTACCTCTCTGTGCTCAAAGCTCCGGTCTTTCCCCTCAGCACATCTACGGCTTTGAGGCTGTTCAAAAGCATACGGTGAAAACGCTCCTTGCAACAAGACAGACACTGCAGGAGCCGGCAGTGTGTCCATAACCCAGGAGGGGGAAAAAAAAAGAGGAGCAGGTGATGGAATCTCTGCACTGGATCGTGTCACCATCCCCTCCTAAAGCTCACAGCAGCTTCCCATTGCCTTTGGAACAAAAAGTCCAATTGCCTGTCCCCAGGCCAAAAACCCTTGCATGGTCTAGCCCCTCCATCTCTATCCAGCCTCATCTCCCATCCCCTCTCTGCCTCACTCACTATGCTTCGATCCCACCCGACTTCTTGGGGCTGGTCCATGGTGGTGGCCATCGTGGCCAGTGGAGCCAAACTCTGGACCTGAGTGTGACAGGCACTGTGCCCCAGGCAGGGTCACAGAAGGCCTCATAGCTGCCCATTCCTCTGTCCCCAAACCTTCCTGTTACAATATCAAGACATAAAAATGACCAGAAATGGATCCAAACCTTGAGTGGCTCATAGTCAACCAATAGAAACAAGCCTTTAAACGTACACTTGCCCTACAATACGGTCATGGCAACGATACAAATAAGAGCCATCCTGTGTTGTCCAGAGGCGGGGGCGGGGTGGAGAGAGACAGTGAACTATTTCTGGGGAACCAGGAAAAGCTTTCTGGAGGAGGTGAATGCTTCTGCAGGTCTGGGAAGATGAGTGATGCCAGAGAAAAGGGATACAGAATAGCTTTGGTGAAATCGGAGAAGTTGGAGAACATGAAGGGAAGAAATGCTGAAATGAGCTCTCATTTTGAAAAAAGAATCTCTAGTAAAAGAAATCACCTCGGGGTTCCCTGGTGGCGCAGTGGTTGAGAGTCTGCCTGCCGATGCAGGGGACACGGGTTCGTGCCCCGGTCCGGGAAGATCCCACATGCCGCGGAGTGGCTGGGCCCGTGAGCCATGGCCGCTGAGCCTGCGCGTCCAGAGCCTGTGCTCCGCAACGGGAGAGGCCACAACAGTGAGAGGCCCGCGTACCTCATTAAAAAAAAAAAGAAAGAAATCGCCTCAACATCATTTTCAGATATTGGCCAAACCTACCTCAGCTGTTGACCTCAGGGTAGAACGATGGTGGAGGTCTCTGTAGCTCTAGGAAAATGAATGCAAAGAGAAATAAGGCATGAATTTAACCTTCCTTGGAGAGTCTTTTTAAAAGAGCAGGCTACCCAAAGTAGCACCTGCATCAGAGGGAGACCAGCACAATATGTATTCACTTGATAATGGACATAATTTCTTGGCTGTAGATCAAATTTATGATGAGGTTGAGTTGTATTTTTATGTGCTGAATGCATGCTTGAGAGTACATCAGGTCCTTCTGGAAACCTGCCCATTATTGCATATGGGACTGAGCATCATTTTACCAGTTGAAACCACTCTAGCTTTATTGCTGTTACTTTGCTTTTATGAAATACTGTTGCTCCCACCTACCCTTCATTTACCACTACGCCCTTAGTCAGCAAAGAAACCACCGGGCTTCAAGGTACCTACTAAAAACTACATTCCATGTTAATAATGATAAAATAAAGAGCTGACATTTATGAGAATTCAGTGTGCCAGGCCTTGTGCTAAGTATTTTATATACATGATCTCATTTCATCTTAAATGTGTGAGGTTGTAGTTTTCACCATTATACACACGAGGAAACAAAGAGATGATAAGAAATCCGATGTTGAAAACAAACTATGGTTACCAAGGGGGAAGGAAGGGGGAGGGATAACTTGGGAGATAAGGATTGACATATACACACTACTATATATAAAATAGATAACGAATAAGGACCTACTGTATAGCACAGGGAACTCTACTCAGTACTCTGTAATGACCTATGTGGAAAAAGAATCTAAACGACAGTGGATATATGTATATGTATAACTGGTTCACTTTGCTGTACACCTGAAACTAACACAACATTGTAAATCAGCTCTACTCCAATAAACATTAATTAAAAAAAAGAAATGATCATGATCACACAACTAGCAGATAGCAGACACTCATCACATATTCGTTCTTCCTTTTAAATACATATATTGAGTATTGTTAGGTTGTATCAGAACATGTAAGTCATATATAACAGGAACTCTCCCCTAAAGAGTTTACAACACAGCGGGTAAAGTAAAACCACACACAAATATCTAGAAGGAAGAGTGTGGTGTGTGACAAGTGTTATGAGCACTGTTTTCTTGTAGAAAAGTGAGGAATCACTCCAGTGAAAGCAAATGACAAACGATCTGGGTTTTGAAGAGGAGTAAAATTTTAAGAATAAAATGTGAGAACGTCCTTCCAAGCAGAAACATTTCTTAAGAAGAGCTCCCCCCAAACAGGAATAATTAAACCAGCAACATCTAGTATAACATATTTTATTATTATTTTATCATCATTTATGGTTTTGTTAAGAAAATATTAATGTATTGTATTTACTTATTTGCATATGTAATTGTAAGCACAATTCACAAGCCTGTTCTTCTCAGACCCACACCTTAATGAACCTGATGGTCAAAGTCTGGTAGGTGTAGCACATAGCTGTTTGGGACTAAATTCAAGTTTCAGAAGTTATAAGCACATTCTATTAAAATTCTATGGCTATGGCTTAATTATGGTCATTATCAAGACCAACGATAGCAAAAACTGTCTCCTTTTAAATAGGGAAGGTCCTGCTTGGATCATATGGCAGCAGGAGTTCGCCTGGTTAAGAGTCTGACTGCCTTTGGAAGGTGGTCAGCAGTATCCATATATAACATATGAAAGATCTGGTTCTATGAAAGTCAAATATGCAAAACGGCAAGTCCATCCATGATCAGTCAGCACACCTAGGGCCACAGAGACCCACCTGCAGTGTCTTTGTTGCACTTGTAGTTTGACAGGGGACCAGCTTCTTCCCTCTGCAACCAGGGGGACCTGGGCAAGGGGATGAGCCTCTGCCTTCCCTCTACCTCCAATCAAGAGCTGAACTCTTCCCACCACTTTGATGTTTGGAGCAAAAGGAAAGAAGAAAGGAAAATATCTAGAGGGTAAGAAAAGGAGGTACAGTGGTTAGACTTCACCTTCCAATGCAGGGGGTGCGCGTTCGATCCCTGATAGGGGAACTAAGATCCCACGTGCCTCACGGCCAAAAAAAAACCAAAACATGAAACAGAAGCAAGAACTTTCCGGAGGTTAAGAATCTACCTGCCAATGCAGGGGACACGGGTTTGACCGCTGGTCCAGGAAGATCCCACATGCCGCGGAGCAACAAAGCCCGCAAGCCTCAACTACTGAGCCTGCGCGCCACAACTACTGAAGCCCACGTGCCCTAGAGCCCGTGCGCCGCAACTACTGAGCCCACGCACTGCAACTACTGAAGCCTGCGCACCTAGAGCCCGTGCACCGCAATGAAGAGTAGCCCCCGCACGCCGCAGCAATGAAGACCCAGCACAGCCAAAGAAAACAGAAGCAATATTGTAACAAATTCAATAAAGACTTTAAAAAAAAATGGTCCACATCAAAAAAATCTTTAAAAAGAAAAGGAGCAAGAAAGAAGGAAGAAATCAAAAGCTCCCCAAGAGCTCCTGGCTGCTGTGGTCCCAGAGACGGGACGGAAGCCTTGGTGGGTATCCAGTGCTCCTGGGACACCCTGACTCAATCCTGTGACTTCAGTACCGTTAAAGCACTTGGCACCTCTTTGATTTAAGAGGAAAATTTACGGGCTTCCCTGGTGGCGCAGTGGTTGAGAGTCTGCCTGCCGATGCAGGGGACACGGGCTCATGCCCCGGTCCGGGAAGATCCCACATGCCGTGGAGCGGCTGGGCCCGTGAGCCATGGCCGCTGAGCCTGCGCATCCGGAGTCTGTGCTCCGCAACGGGAGAGGCCGCAACAGTGAGAGGCCCGCGTACCGCAAAAAAAAAAAAGAGGAAAATTTACATCTCCTCATTTCCCCATGGAGGACACGAAGGACAGGGGTTTTAAAATTCTTATCAAAAATAAGGACAACCAGGCACAGAAAGGAATAATAAGGTATGAACATCAGACAGTTGACAAAAGTCAGATCTGTGACATTTTCAACGAGGTCAAAGAATGTCATGAAATTTCCAAAACAAAATTAATATTAATTTTCTCTCTTTGTGAAATTATAATGTTACCTCTGGAAGGAGGGAGTGGGGTAGAGGCTGGGAGGATGTAGTTGAGCCCAGGGGTCATAGGAACAAATGAAGCAACGAGGATGAGGCGCCTGGAGCACGCAGGCAAATGGGTCCCCTGGCTCCACGTGTGGATTTCACCCTGGGATGAGGGCCATCTGCACAGTCTAAGCTTGTCACAGAGGTCCCTCAAGTCGTCAGAGTTTGTCCAGCGTTTCCCTAGCTGAGTACAATCAAGTTGGGAATGCGAGTGTTTGATTTTTATATAACAAATATAGGGTCTTCAAAGCAAGCACCCTGCCTGTCTGGATTTTTGTCTGTTCATTTAATTACACTGTCTGAGATTCCTTCCTGCATCACATCACCTCTAGACAGCATAAAGATGGCACCGTAGTTGAGACCATTCTGCTGAATTGCAAATGTCTTCCACGGCTCTGGGCAGCTCACTCCCCCACCACAGATCTCCAGCAGAGCCCCGTAAATCAGCATGTTCTAAACAGCTGAACCAGAAATAACCAAAGAGGATATTTAGACCAAATGGAGTGGGAGGCCAGGATGAAAGATTTAAACATAAGGAAAAACGTATGATGAAAGAACGAAGAGAGATGAATTAAGCAGAGCCCGTTTTTATATTACATGGAAAAAAGTGATATCTTTGCAAAAAGTCTTGCTAAAATCATGCCTGATACTAATTTTTTTTTAATTCTTCCACCCCTGTCCCATCAAATTAGTGTCTTCAGGGTCACTATAGCATTAGCCTAATTAGAGCCAGTGACAGAGCCAATGTCCAGTGACAACCTACAGAATTGGAGAAAATATTTGCAAATCATATATCTGATAAGGGCTTAATACCCAAAATATATAAAGAACTCATACAGCTCAATTAAAAAACAAATAATTCAATTAAAAATCGCCAAAGAGGGCTTCCCTGGTGGCGCAGTGGTTGAGAGTCCGCCTGCCGATGCAGGGGACACGGGTTCGTGCCCCGGTCCGGGAAGATCCCACGTGCCGCGGAGCGGCTGGGCTCGTGAGCCATGGCCACTGGGCTTGCGCGTCCGGAGCCTGTGTTCCGCAACGGGAGAGGCCACAACAGTTAGAGGCCCGCGTACCGCAAAAAAAAAAAAAAAAAAAAAAAATCGCCAAAGAACCTGACACTTTTTCAAAGAGGATATACAAATGGCCAACAGGTACATGAAAAGGTGCTCAACATCACTAATCATTATGGAGACACAAATCAAAACAAGGAGATATTACAGCACGACTGTTAGAATGGCTATTAGCAAGAAGACAAGAGACAACAAATGCTGGTGAGGATATAGAGAAGACAGAACTCTAGTGCACTGCCTGTAGGGACTGTAAATCGGTGCAGCCACTATGGAAAGCAGCGTGGAGATTCCTTAAAAAATTAGAACTACGATATGATCCAGCAACTCTACCTCCAGGTATATATGCAAAGGAAATGAAATCACTATGTCACAGAGATACCTGCACCCCCATTTTCATGGTAGCATTATTTACAATAGCCAAGACATGGAAATAACCTAAGTGTCCATAGACAGAGGGGTGGATAGAGAAGACGTGGTGTGTATAACAGAATACTATCCATCATTTGCAACAACAGGAATGGAAATTTAGGGCATTGTGCTACGTGAAATAAGTCAGATAGAGAAAGACAAATACTGTATGATTTCACTCATAAAATCTAAAAAACAAACAAAAAAATTTTTTAACTCACAAAAATAGAGGTCAGATTTGTGGTTACCAGATTGGGAAGCGAAGGATGGGGGAATTGGATGAAGGGTGATCCAAAGGTACAAACTTCCAGTTATAAGATGAATCAGTGCTGGGAATGTAATGTACAACATGATGACTCTAGTGAACTCTGCTATACAGTATATTTGAAAGTTGCCAAGAGTAAATCCTGAAAGTTCTTATCACAAGGGGAAGAAAACTGATTATTTTTTGTACCTGAATGAG